CTAGTGGAACCCTCCAAGAAAGTTGTAATTTAAAAATCAGTTGACGAGATTACTGCATAACAAAAATATTTGAGGAAAGCAGTTAAGGTGATTTTAGTAAGTAGAGATGACACCCACCCCCCACCCCTCCACCCCCCACCCCTCCACCCCGGGTCTCCAGGGTACTGTTCTTGTCTGCCAGCATAAGCTGCAGTTGTTCCTGGTGACTGGAATCAGGAGACTTGGGAAAGAGCAGTGTTAGAGTGTTAGTGCCTGAGTTATTCTCTCCTTTTGTAATTTACTCAGTTGTTTATAAAGGAAGTTTCTGCAGGCCCAAATATATGAATGATGAGCAAAGGCAAGGAATTTCTTTCTCCACATTAAGATTAAGTGTTAGCAGTTCTTTAAATGAAAGAAGCAATTTTTTATAACTTGCAAAGCTTCTCTCTCTCATTCTTCGGGGAATTTCCTATGTTAATTTATGCAGTGTTAAATTTATGCAGTGTTGAAATTCAGCCCAACAGCAGCTACTTACAGAACCTATGCAGGCACTGTAGGGGAACCTATAAGGTGGAAGCTGAGTAGTACAGACCCTATCCAGCCTAAGGAGGCCCCCATCCAAAGGCCATGGGGCCTGGGTTTGAATAGCAAATTTCATTGCACAGCTGCAATATAGTAATAACACAGAATGTTTCACCAATTTATTCATCTGTTTAAAAATTCAACTTGACATCGTATTTGTTAATGTCTCTTACAGAAGCGAGGCAGTTTTGTACCACCTCTGCCACCCTTTGGTGCAGTTTGACAACATGTTTATAGGTCAGCCCTGTAGCTTTCCTGTGGTCCCTTGTGTCGTCAAGGAGTCACACATGAATCAGCTGAACTACTGTGCTTTCTATGAGGATTAGAATTTTAATGCAAGCAGCAGGATATTTTGTGAATGTGGTTAGAGGGGTTATTGAAACATTATTTCTCTGTGTTTTATGTTTGTTCACATGTATTGAAATAGTGCCTTTATATTAGAATGGCCCGCTGATGGCTTAAGCCATCCAGGGCCCACATTGTCTCTCATTCTCAGTAAGAGTTTAGTAGTCATTACATGATTTGGTTAAAAAAAAAAAAAAATCCCTATCCATTTTTGGTTGAGATTGCAGAGAGAATAGTTAAAAGAATCCCTAGACTCTAAAAACACTTTAACTTTTGCTTCAATTATGCTATAGTAGCTGTGGATTATTTTGCAACATTTGAAAAGAGGTACATTATCATGTGGCTGTCCTTGTAACTCTAATACCAAAATTTTAGGGAGAGACTGAGCCATGTAATTGCGACCAGGTATTGCAGCTTAATATTCCCATCACTGTGCAGAAGAACATGATGAATGTATAAACCTCCAAGATGCAAAAGGGCGTTGTGTCATCACTCATAAAGGATCATTTTCTTTAGGAACTACATGCCCTTAGATGGGTTCAGCATACATCTGCTTTATACTGGCTTCCTTGTTGTGTGTACCAAAAAAATCTTAGGAGGAGGTTGTCTATATATCAAATTTTTAGAGCTTCCTGTCCATGCTATTGGAAAAACTTTCACACAGATCAAGTGGTAGGGGCTGAAAATAAGTAAGATGCTAGGACACTGTGACAGTGCTAGGCAGTATGTGATTCTTACAATGCAGGTGCTCAGTTTTTATTTTCCCAGCAAGTACAGAGCCTATATGGGCAGTTGGTTTGAGAGAAGCCTTCTAGAGTTAGTTCTCAGGACAGTTCTGCCAGCAGTTTTCCACCTCACTTACTTTATCTTTGCTCTTTTCTTTAGATGCACCTAACTTTTCTAATTTCTTCCTATTTGACCAAATCATCTTTCTGTCCATTTCTCTCTGAGTTTTCTCTAAGCTATTGATAGTTCGCCTGCTTTTATAGCTGTTCTTTCTTTGTGTCCCAGGAGTATATACTTCTCAGAAACCTGTAATCAAGGATATTTTAGAATAATTTGTGTGCTTCTGTGACCTAAAATACTCTTGTTCATAGTCCACTCTTTCTGTTCTGTCCCTTTTATTTCTATCTTTTTTGTTTATCTTTGACCTTAATCTTTATCTCTGGAGATGCCTTGACCTTTCCTATCATGCCTTAAACTTCTTTCTAGATATTTACATCTGAGATATCTCCTCTAAAATTGTTCTTACTCACAAACCCAAAATTTAAGCTTCCTCCTTATTCCTAGGAGGTTTCTCCCACAGACTTCCCTGTTGGCCTTGGTGAACCCACCTCTGTCCCTGTAGATCCACCCATCCCCCTGGCCTCACTTCCTCTCTTCTTCCCAAGCCTTTTAGTTCTGTCCGTTTCTTGTTCCCACCCTTGCTTGGTCCCTAATCCACCTCCTCCCTGGTCTTCCTGCCTTCCGAGTCACCTCTGTTTAGATCTGTTAACCTTCCTACATGTCATTCTCCTGGTAAAAAGCTTTTGCTAGATTCCCATAGGTTTTTGTTTGTTTGTTTTTTATCAGCTAATAAGTATCAGTCTGACATCCATTTTGAGAAAGGAAAAAAATTACTTTTTCCCAGATATTGTTTTCTTCTTTTTCAATTTTATTACTTGTTCAGTAAAATAAGTTTTAGCATACACTTAGCAAACACATAAAAATTGCCAAATTATTACTGTGTCTTACTCCTTAATTTCCCATGGGTGTGCGTATCAGCTTCTGCATATCACTAAACCACCTAGGGTGGCTGGGAGGGTGTGCGATGCCTGGAGGAAGATTGAGCAAATGAACTAGAGGCATCCTTGGGCTTCACCCGGCCTCTTCTGAACAAAATTTCAAAACTAAGGGGGAAATACCACTTTAAACAGACCTCTGAAAATGGAGGCAGCACATCCCAGGCCCCAGCTGGTTTACAGTTTTAACCTGATAGTTAAGAATTCTTCCTGTCTAGCACCCACCATCCTAACCCACAAAGGTCAGTAACTAGAAAGAAGGAAGGGACCATTTTTGTAGTTTGGGGATTGGTCTTGTCTGTGTAGCTCTGCCCACCACTGTGAGCACGAAAGCATCTGCATTCTGCCGAGAGTGGGCAGAGGTGGGGGGGGCATCTCATGTTCTTCAGTTGAGTGGACAGAGTTCTCTGGGAGGGAATCTTGTGTTCTTGAATTGAGGGATTCCTTTCAGAATTTGCGGGGTTTAACCACCCTAAATACTCCCTCTCACTCTGCCTTGCCAATAGCTTCCCATAGTCACTGTGGCCTCCAGAAATGCTCCCAGCATTTCCAAATGCTCCTGCTCATGAGCTGGCACCCGTTCCTATCCCACCCCCATGACCCAGGCTATGGATTTTTTTCATCCTTAAGGTTTTCAGCTCTTGTGGTAGCAGGGAACAGCCATTTGGAGACTCTACATGAGAAAGTAGCAATGTTAATTAAAGGTCATGATATTTTAGAGAGCAAGAAGTGTATATGGAACGGGGTGGGGGCAGTCATTCTCCTGGTAAAAAGCTTTTGCTAGATTCCCATAGGTTTTTGTTTGTTTGTTTTTTATCAGCTAATAAGTATCAGTCTGACATCCATTTTGAGAAAGGAAAAAAATTACTTTTTCCCAGATATTGTTTTCTTCTTTTTCAATTTTATTACTTGTTCAGTAAAATAAGTTTTAGCATACACTTAGCAAACACATAAAAATTGCCAAATTATTACTGTGTCTTACTCCTTAATTTCCCATGGGTGTGCGTATCAGCTTCTGCATATCACTAAACCACCTAGGGTGGCTGGGAGGGTGTGCGATGCCTGGAGGAAGATTGAGCAAATGAACTAGAGGCATCCTTGGGCTTCACCCGGCCTCTTCTGAACAAAATTTCAAAACTAAGGGGGAAATACCACTTTAAACAGACCTCTGAAAATGGAGGCAGCACATCCCAGGCCCCAGCTGGTTTACAGTTTTAACCTGATAGTTAAGAATTCTTCCTGTCTAGCACCCACCATCCTAACCCACAAAGGTCAGTAACTAGAAAGAAGGAAGGGACCATTTTTGTAGTTTGGGGATTGGTCTTGTCTGTGTAGCTCTGCCCACCACTGTGAGCACGAAAGCATCTGCATTCTGCCGAGAGTGGGCAGAGGTGGGGGGGGCATCTCATGTTCTTCAGTTGAGTGGACAGAGTTCTCTGGGAGGGAATCTTGTGTTCTTGAATTGAGGGATTCCTTTCAGAATTTGCGGGGTTTAACCACCCTAAATACTCCCTCTCACTCTGCCTTGCCAATAGCTTCCCATAGTCACTGTGGCCTCCAGAAATGCTCCCAGCATTTCCAAATGCTCCTGCTCATGAGCTGGCACCCGTTCCTATCCCACCCCCATGACCCAGGCTATGGATTTTTTTCATCCTTAAGGTTTTCAGCTCTTGTGGTAGCAGGGAACAGCCATTTGGAGACTCTACATGAGAAAGTAGCAATGTTAATTAAAGGTCATGATATTTTAGAGAGCAAGAAGTGTATATGGAACGGGGTGGGGGCAGTCTTCAAAAGTTTATAGAAAATGCATATTATAAAAAGAACTCTACATTGATTTCTTTTTTTTTTTTTTAATAAAAATAAACTCATACTGGTACCAGCAGATGTTATGATGGTTATGTCACTGGACTCCCATGTAGGCAACTGCGGTTCGAGTCTGGGACCCGGAGGCTTAAAACTCAGGTCGCGCGTGTGTATATGTATGTCAAAAATCCCCAGAGGAGAATGGAGGAGAAAGGATTGCAGCGTGGCCATCCACCTTCGGGGGTGATTTCTCACTTTCTGTCTCTCTGGCAAGTTCATGTGCCCTATAACAAAAATCTCTCTCTTAAAAATAAAACAAACAAATAAACTCATACTTAATTTTTCTGGAAATGTTTTGAGGCCCACTTGTATACCCTGTTTTTAAGTGTTTTTGAAGTAGATATTTGAAAAGGAATACAAATTGTACTAAATAAGTTACTGTGTTTCGTTCATTTTGCTTCTGGCCTCTCCTTCTGGTGGTAAAACTTTTGCTTTCTGTTTCTCTTACAGAGCATGCTTGAGAAGGGAGGATAAAACTTGGAAAACACACCAAACTTCTTCAACGTTAATTCCAGAGGTGGAACATTTTTTTTTTTCCTCATAAGAAAATAACCCATTAAAGAGAAGACCATTAAAGAGAAGCACTGGAGAACAGGTTCAACAGAACTTTTTGATCAGCAACAATTTGAAAAGCCAAGGCCTACATCATGAATCAGTCATCAAAGGACACTGTTCAGTATTAGGAACCCCATTTATGATGATTAAAAGAGAAGGGCAGCCCTCTACCTTTTTGTACTTTCTATTCTATTGGCCATCAAATGTTTCTTCTCTTCTAAGCAGGCTCCGTGGTTTGGTGATCACTCCAGTGGGGGCGGGAGGGTGTAGCTAATTGGAACCAGGAGAGAAGACAGCAAAAATTGTGGGTCTCAGGGCAGCAGTATCAGGTGGAATTGTCTAGATTCTGACATGTTGGTTTTTTTCTCTTTTTCATCTTTGATTATATTAAGAGCTATTTCATTTTAACTTATTATGGTGATCGTGCAAGTAGGAAGACAAAAAGGAGAGAAAATGTACCTCTTTTACTGGAATAATGTTTATGATTACAAGTAAAATAAGGCATTTTTATCCATATAAAGGTAACCTTGGCTTATACAACCTCTATCATGTATACTGACATCTTTTCTCCACTTGCTATCAATAATAAATATATTTTCTGACAAAGATGGGCATAGTAGCTCGGGGCCTTGCACATTCCTTTGGCTGGGGTAGATGGTTCTGCTTATGGGAATTGAGTTGATTTATGTTGTTATTCATTTGCATTTGTGCTGTGCCTTTCCTCACAAAGCACTTTGCAGAGAACCAGGCAGGCCAATGGTAGTCATCACTTGCCTCTCAGGCAGGTAGAATTCAGTAGGACCTTTGCAAATTTCCTGAACCTTCCTTTCTTTGGGATGACTTAAATCATCCTGCCTGGGGCAAGAACTAGATAAGATTACCTTGGTTAGTACTTTCTGACCCTGTAATACTATGAAAATGTTTAAGAAACAAAAACAAACAAAAGAATGGAATCCTAAGAATTTTTCTTCTTTCCATTTTCATTAAAACTACCTGATTCTCACTCCTCCTTCTCTACCAGGATTAGTGCTTCACCCCTGGATTTGAGTAAGTTGGAAATACATACTCTCACTGAAGTTAACTGGAAAAGTCCTTCTTGAAGTAGGAGGACGAAAATGCCAGTGTTCCTTGATGTCATCACAGAGAACTTTTTCCATGTGTAATTTCTATCTCATTTTTATCTTGTTTCAGAAAGAGAATTTAGCAAAATGATTAAGACTACACACTTGAATAAAGTGCATCTTTGTGAGATTCTGGCCCTGCTATGTAATGGTATGGGACTTACCTGAGTTACTTAATGATAGTAAGTAGGACTCCGTTTCTTCATCTGTGAAAAGAGAGAAATACAAGGACCTGGTTTTTAAGCTTTTTTTTTTTTTTTTTGAGAGGTTTTTGCTATAGGGCGCATGCGCTCGCCAGACAGACAGAGAGAGACAGAAAGCAGGAAATCACCCCCGGTGGGGGGTGGCCACGCCGCAATCCCTTCTCCTCCATTCTCCTCTCAGGATCTTGGGCACGCACGCACACGTGCCCGGCGTGAGTTTAAGCCACCAGGTCCAGGACTCGAACCACGGTCGACTACATGGGAGTCCAGCGACATAGCCATTACGCTAACTGCTGGCCCCTAGGCTTGTTGTTGAAAGTCAGAATGCTTAACCACATCATTCAGTCAGACCCAGTATATATTGTTGGCTACTATGATTATGCAGTAAACTGCAATTTGGAGTTGGGGACAAGGAAAGTACCCACACACTCAAACACCTTTTATTCATAGAAAGTCAGAAGGAACATGTGATGGGACATTTTTAGCCAATCCATGTAAATGTCACTGTGGCTTCTTATCCAAGTTTCTGAGGTGGCTCGTTTGAATGACACCTTCATGCACCTGGGAACACACCTGTAGACCTGATTTAATTTAGAGTGACGCAGGAGACTCTCCCACCATAATTAGTGAGATACTCAGGGACTAGTGTTTAATGAAGGTCTTTATTTTGGGGCTTCGTAGGGGGGGGAGGGCTTTTTTAATGGTTCACAGTAAGCTGAGTTCATTTTTGTGGGAATGGAGGAATCTGTTACCTGAGGAGCCACACGTTTGGGCGCTGTCAGGATGGCATCCAGGTAACTGCTTGAGAGAAAGAACAGATACACAAAAGCAAATGTTTACACGGTGACTTGCTATAGTGTTTGCAAATCAGCTAACTCACAAATTCCCTCCTATCTGTTTTGTTTTGCAATTTAGAGCCAAGAACTTGGCACATCCCAGGCTGCCGATCTTGTCGCTGGCAGAGACTCAGCCCTGAAGAGGAGGGCACTTCAAGCAGGCTCATCCAATGGGGATAGGGTCGGTTTGTCAGGCAGCTCTTCTCTAGTATCAGTTATTTATGCAGTAAACATAATGTGTATATGGGGGAGGGACAGCACTTTGGGGGCGATTGAAGGATGAGATGAAGCATTTTTCTACCCCTTTGCAGACTTCCCTGTTTTTTGCATCACAACAGTGTCTAGGTCACCATTACCTCTGAAGACAATGCTTGGGAAGGATGTTGTGTTACATGAGGCTTATGGAGTGATTTGTTCGAATCAGCTAGCTTCCCTATTAAGTAGAGCATACCTTGAACCACAGTAGTTTAAGCTCATGAAGACAAGAAAAGTATCTTGAAAACTACACACTAAACACATGTCCGATGAACTTATTGAACACAGCTGGGGGGGACCAGCAGTTGTTGTGGTTGGACTCCCAAATGGCCAACCATGGTTTAAGTCCTGGACTGGAGGCTTGAAAATCACACTGGACATGTGTGTCCAAAATCTTGAAAGGAGAAGGGATTACCTTATGGCCATCCCCCTACCTTGGGGTGATGTGATTTCTCAATCTCCCTCTCACTGTCTCTCTCTGTCTCTTTCCAGCAAGCATACATACCCTATGACAAAAGCCTTAGAGAACAACAATGAAAAAGACAGCTGGGTTAATAACTTATTACAGAAAACAACATCCACGCCAGTGACTAGCTCCCATATAACTGGCAATATGGCTTGAGTCCCAGACCAAGTGGTTTGAAAAATGCCAGGTGCTGGGACCACCAGTTAGTGTAATGGCTATGTTGCTGGACTCCCATGTAGTCGGCTGCGATTCAAGTCCCAGACCCAGTGGCTTAAACTCACGCTGGGTGCGTGTGAGTGCGTGCCCAAGATCCCAAGAGAATGGAGGAGAAGGGATTGCAGTGGGGCCATCCCCCTTGGGGGGTTATTTCTCACTTTCTGTCTCTGTCTCTCTCTGTCTTTCTGGTGAACGCACACGCCCTATAGCAAAAACCTCTCAAAAA